CTATAGCTCATGACCTTTGTATCTATAAAAAAATGTCCGAACCACTTGACTATTAAATTATACCTCAATGGAAATTTAGAATTATAAAGAGGTATATATAAAAGACTGCAAAAAAACTAACACTGCCTGCTTTGCTCAAAAATCGTACTTTAAGATTCTGCCAACGTTAAATTAGAAATTATAGGTATTCACTGTCGTATTTCTTAGCTCCAGTGATCTTGAGGCAGCAGACAGCAAAAAAAAATTGTGAAAACAATCACTTAGCTTGAGAAAGTTCACAGGTATGACAGGAGTCGATGAAAGTTTGCCTGATAGATTTTATGATACCTATTAAAAGCTTCAATTATGAATTTTGATAAATATGTGCAGTTCAGACAACCTCCTTTACCAATGTCTAATGTTATTCTCATTGGAACTGTAAACAACTTAATTATTGATATTTGCTTTGAAAGTAACATCCTGTATGTTTTAAAGCCCCACTGTCCTACTTGTAGCTACTTGATCCCTCTATATAGAAAACTTCCCCATCGGTTCCTCTTTTTCTTATGTTAGTTGAGAGCTGAGTTTAAGATAGCCACCTGTCAGTGACCTCGCTGTGTGGTCTAATCCCCTCTGGCCCAGTAGTGTTGACGGTCTTTAAGTAAGAAAATTGTTACATAAAATATCGGAACTTGCATTACTGACGTATGCGCTAATTTTATTTACAGGCTTGATTAGCGCAGGTGATGACGCAATCATAAATGACGCTAACCTCTGATTGAATACAAATTCAATAAGCCAGTTCGTAAATAGCTTCGGACCGCATGACCCCCGAATATCCACAGATCTTTTACAATATGGATACGTCCCACTTGTGCATTTTAGAATAATCCCTGTCGAAGTGATGGAGGTGCTTCATGGATACTAGCCTTTAAACAAGGCCACATGCCTGATAGACGCCGAGCGACTAAAAAGAGACTAATCGCGAAAACCTGAATGAACGCCAGTGCGAATTGTCCAGACCTGTGGCCTTTATCAATCTGGTTTGGATTTCTTATGTTAACCCTTGTTTCCGACTGGAACTCGCTTCAGAAAACGTAGTGTCCAATCAGCGAACGTATCCTCGCACGACGTCAGCATATAGTATCCATCACACACACACACACACACACACACACACACAGTAAACTCTACGTCGTGCGAACATGGACGTACATGCCTACTATACGTACGTGCTAAGACCACTGACCTCTACATGGAACGAATCACGAGCGAAGCCAACATGGGAGATCGCCGTTCTGATTGGTCAATAAATCCAAAGTAGGCGTATTGGCATGCTAATATGTATCTATGAATAATTCATGCGGAGCAGTGAAACCCACTTTGCAAAAGGCCTCGTGACATTCGTCACTCGGTCGCGCGTTCACCCGGGGTATCTAGACTCATCTCAGCCGCTTAGCCAGAGTCACGAGGCCTTGTCAAAAGGCTACATGGATACCTGTTGTTTGCCCTCTTGAGAAGAATACTTCCACCTGTGTATCAGATATGTACTGTCGGTACATAAATGAATACTAATTACATAACTTTCATGAGCACGATTCGAGTATTCGTCTCAATGGTATTACAATTTTGGTACGAATGACCTTTATCTGCACATGCGCAAATCCTAATTACGAACTCGCTTATTATACGGCATTAACGTGATTTGCGCAAAAATAATGTACATATGTTGAAATCAACCTACTCTATATTTTTCTATTCATCCCTTGGGTACATGTACGTTAAATTGCGAATGCAAATGGAAAATGTTAGAACTGCCATTTAAGGTTTTGAATGGAAAGAAACTTGATGTAAAAACGACGCGACCTCTTTATGTTGGATTAAAATAAATGAAAAGTATATGAATAAAATTGTCTCAGAGCTTAAACAAACATATTTTGTCCTCAGTTGCGTTTGATTTTATGATGTCTTATCAAAGAGATGATATCTCTTTGGTCTTATCTTGTTCTTCTTATATATTGTTATCTTTTAAATAATTAATCTTCCTTTTCTATATAGTACTTTCTGCCCTCCTCTCTCGGTCATCCGAGCCTATTTTTTAAAGAAAGTGTTCGTAATTAAAGCTTACAATCAACTGTAGTGCGGAGGGGTAGTATTTACCAAGCAATATTTTTCTAACTTTAAAGCTAAAGTACACGTAAATTTCGGAATACAATATCTCGTTATAAAATCCATTTTACTTATTAAATGAAAGATGAACTAAATGTTCCCGGGTCATTAGTGCTTCTATGAATACTGCCAGTGTCATTATGTTAAAGCACGTGTTTACATTAATGGTGATTATACTAACATATAGCCTTATCATTATTTTAAAATATGAGGTTGAGTTCTGGGAAAGGGGAAGCATAAATTGTGAGCTTTTTTATTCTTTCTACATTAGTGGCGGAGAATATGGAAATAAGTGTGCCCTAACAAGAATGGCGTTTCAACATGTTCGAATGCTTTCATATTCGAAATATTACAAATAATAGACCACAACCCCGTACTTTATGTTTGTGTAGTCCCATACAGACATTTCTGTGTACGGTGCGTGTGAACTTATTATTATCATGTTGATGATTCCAGAACCTCATATCATCCAACAATACGTATGTCCCACACACAAAAAACAACAAATCGCTTCCAGACAGTTACGTTCACAATGAAATGGAATAACAACTACTATTCCTGTTAGTCTTGCCTAAATCGATCTTTCTCTCCGCCTCTTATTTTCTTCTCCCCATCTCTCTTCCTCCATAAAGGACCCATCACATCGAAACACAAAGTTATTCCTGTTGGTGCGCAGTCCTGCATATATCTCATATTTTGATATGTAAACTTCTGAATTTGTTTCATAGATTTTGAAATATTTTTTGAAATATTTGTTTTTCAAACTTGCTAAGCTCCACCCCAAAATCCTCCAGATGTCATTTCCCTTGTGACATCATCTGTCAGTCATCAATGAGCTAACTTGAGAAAGTCGCATGTTACTTTGCCAAAGTTGACCACCTATTACAATACCACAAACAATAGCAACATATATCAGACATGTCAGACTAAACTAATATTCTAGAATAGACAATGGAATGTAATTTCCCCCAGCTTAGCACACGTTCATAATAGAATTGCATGCTTCCATACATGACAATACATCATCATTGTCATGCCTTCCTGGTGATGCTACAGCATTGTCTGACATAGCAACTTGTATGTTGCTATTGTATTACGTATTATAACAGGTGGTCAACTTCGGCAAAGATACATACCACTTTCTCAAGTTAGCTCATTGATGACTGACAGATGATGTCACAAGGGGAATGAGATCTGGAGGTTTTTGTAGTGGAGCTTAGCAAGTTTGAAAAACAAATATTTCAAACAATATTTCAAAATCTATGAAACAAATTCAGAAGTTTACATATCAAAATATGAGATGTATGCAGGACTGCACACCAACAGGAATACACTTATAATTCGATGTCATGGGCCCTGTAATACCGCGACGGGATTCAAAGAGCAAACCATGTGATCAACAGTCCGGTGACGTATCCACTAAACCACGGCACCAATAGTATAGTATTAATGACTGCTTTGAGAGAAATAGTTGTTTTATTACGCTCAAGGGAAGGTTAGAATTGTGCTATTCCCCGAGGCTTGCCGAGGGGAATAGCCCAATTGTAACCTTCCCGAGAGCGTATGAAAACAACTATTTCTCGAATATTAAAGCAGTCATTAATACTTTTATATGCCGAAAAAAAATAGACTAAAAAATAAAAATAAAAAATATTTTTTTGTGGTCGAAGATGAGATTCGAACTCTTGCGTACAAAAGGTGATAAATCTAAAGTCAGCGCCTTAGACCTCTCGGCCATCGCGCGTTATTAACATGCTTGGCAGTTTTGTACGATATATACATTAAAATGGATTGAAACCGGCTTCGCGTGTGATGAATGCTTCGCAAAAGCTCCATGAAATGGACCCTTCTTTTACTTTTGCAATGCATATTGGCACGAACTTAGATCAAGATCTATCGGCAGATGTTGTTTTTTTGTTTTTGAGAGTTAATTTTCGTCTTCATGTCAACAATGCAAGATAAAATTGTCGGTAAGATCGATCGAGATTCAATTGTATTGAAATTGCCGACCAATTTTTCGCACACGTATGGTATCCTCCATCGCTCAAACCATTTTTTAACATGTAAACCTATGGGGTAACCATGGAGACTGACCTATTTTTTTAATAACCATGGTTATTAAAAATATTGAAATGTTTTATGCATGGTTACCGGGAATTTTACAGGAACAGTTGAAGTTTATGAATGCAATTCGACCAATCAGATGGCTGGATTTCTTAAGTGAGGTATATAATAAGATCTAATACTTTGTACCCGTGTAATTTGATATACAAATCGACCGATCCTCGTGTATTCCTCTTATCAGGCCGACCTTTCGATTTGAGGAAAGGGCTTTATTCTACCTCAGTAATCTGTGTCAATAGGCCTATATATCTATAATTTTATTGATAAACAAATATCTGTCAAACTAATCAAATATCGACCATGACCTAATATGGCGTCAAGTATTTTGACCTCGTCTAGTGGAGTAGATACGGGAAACACGGAGGCATGTAACCGCCACCCCCGACCCCACCCCCTTCCGGTCCACATCAAATGGCGGGCGCGGGGTGGGGGGGGGGGGGGGGAGAAGAGAGTGAGGAAAAGGCAAAACAAAGAAAAGGCGAAAGGGGGTGTAAAGAAAAACATCCCTCCCATACCTTATCTCTTAGTAATGGCCTTTCTCGTTCATTATTTCATTGATAAAGACCAGTGCGACACCGCTACCCAATGCCCCCTTCATTTCTGGATTTCCGATACGCCACTGATCGTGTCATGGTTATTGGGTCAGGGTTACTTATGTCACCTCCCTGATTATATCGAGAGAACTGCTGGAAACAAAACAAAATCATACAGGTCATGTATTGTATCTCGGTAGATTTCCCAAACAAAGTTTGTGCTACGCCGGGAGAGGTCCGTTTAATCTTGAAGTAAGTTTCTTTTCATTATTATCATTTTTTATTAACTGCTTTTTTCATGTTTTATTTTCATGTTGGATAAGACTTGGTGTAAAGGAAATGATCTGAAAGAAAGCCTAGTGCCATTTTTTCAGATTGTGCCGTTGTTGTAGCTTATCGCTGTTTACAGAATGGTCTTTAGATACTTTTTTAGTGAATGAATGCAAGGTATAGGATTTTCCGGCCAAATTCGCGAGTTTGTTATTTAAATGAATTTGTCTTGCGTTCAAATTCGACGGTTTTAGTGCTGTCAGATATATCTTGGGTTTATATTCCTTTTTCTAGTTTTCAAATCTATGAAGTTTTCGTTAGAATCTATGTATGCTTTATTCAAATTAATGAATAATGTGCTTCTTTTGCTATTTGGTCATTCAATTTGGCGCAACACGATTTCTGACATCGCGAAGGTGTACTTTTAGCATTCGAATTCATTTGTAGCATTCAAATTAGCACTTTGTACACTTAAATTGATGGTCAATGTACATTTCTCGTTTTTAACACATTTTTTTATAGCTCATTCTTCTCTTTCAAGATTGTTTTTTTCATGTGTATTTCATCATATTTTATTTTCTTGCCTTTATACACTTTAAATACTTTTAGATTTATCTGATATTCATCATCCTTTAAGTTTGATTGTTAAGAAAGAAAAAAAAAAAAGACTTACATCTATGGACTAGTGATGGTCTCAATAATTTTGTAAATTATCATGTAAGGAAGTTGTTTGTTTTGTGTTTTATGGAGGAAGGGTACAATGTTGTGACTGTGGTAGGTATTTTTGTATCCCCACTTTTCCGGGGTATATGAACATGTCCGTGTAGAAATGTCACATAATTTGATTTCGCCCCTTCTTTACCTAATGTCTCACTACACCCATATGCATTGTCCTCAAAATTAATAAATGGAATAACAGAAAAGACCCTAATGGCAAATCATGCATTTAATTGTTTTGTTTTTTCAAACTGTAAACGTGTGTTGCATTTCTTCCCCCTAACATTCCTAATTTGAATAAACATAATTCGAAAACGAATGACAGGTGCTAATTTGAATGATAAAAATGACGCCTCGACAAGTGACGATTAATTTGAATTCTAGTTGAGCAGTTTCTAAATTGAATGACAGATCTATCAAACCCTTCGACCGAAATTATAAATTGAATACCAAAACGGGAAAATTGAATGATAATTTGCATGGCAAAGCCGATCTGCGCTAACTTACATGTAAATGCAAAGTAAATGAATTCAAATGACAAACTAGCGAATTTCGCCGGGAAATCCTATATTACAATGTAACATATTTAATGTTATAGTTAGTCATAATGGCACCGTATTTGAATAAGGCAAGGTGAAAGATTATAGATAACCCTTCGCCATTCATTGGGGCACGGTAGAAGCCCCCCCCCCCCCCAGCCCCTGTAGCTGCGGGTCACCCGACATTTGCTCCTACGATCTAAGGTCTTGAGTTAGGATTAGGGTTGCGATTTGGGTTATAGTTGGGTTCTTTTAGGGTTAGGGTTAGGTAAAGTGTTTGGGTCCAGGGGTGATCTAATCAGATCGTCTTGAAATGGTGAAACATATTATCCCCAAGTTAGAACCTCATATCTCTAGTGGTTCTTTATATATCACGTTAAAGAGAAAACGGGTCGGACGTTCGGACGTTTGGACGGACGGACAACCCAAAAACATATATCATCGTTAAAGAACTAATGAGTAGTGGAACTTGAGGTCTTTTCTCTTGAAAGGGTCATTTAAATAAACGGGAAAACACGGTGTTTGTTTTTTCCATAATAAACAGGTCAAGACGAAGTGCCTATCCCATGCAAAGGACCAATGGCATCACTAAACGAGTACAGTATCACTAGAGAGGAGGCGCATTGTTTCCTGCGAGATGCCTTGCAGATAGAATCCATAGACACCAAGCTCAAGACGGACAAAATCGCTTTCCTGGACGAGCTGATAAAGGCCATTTGGCACCACATCCCGTACCAGACTGTCACAGGTCTCTCGACGCCTCACGGGGATCGAAGATTACCTACAGCAACGGACATCAAGAAAGATATCACCTCGAAACTGGGAGGCCTCTGCTATCAACTCAATGTCTTCGGTTGGATGTTGCTTCGCGCTCTCGAGTTCGACGCCCTTCTCGTGGTCGGTGACTGTCGGACGTACAAGAGCATCCACATTGTGGTGATTATCAACAACGTAACCGAGCAGGGTACCAGGCATATTTTCGATGTCGGGATGGGTTATCCAATCCTTCAGCTGATCCCGCTTGATTTCGAGCAGGAATCGCCTGTATACTCCGACTCCTACATGCGATATCGATTCGTGCGTCAAGGAGACCAAGTGCTCATCTTCCAGCTCAGTGTCGACACCAACCCATCACAAGTGGCTACCTTTCGAGAATACATCCAGGATGGTTGGATTTCGTTCATGTTTATTCACCTTGACAAACCGGTTAGCGTACCGTTGAGTCCGATGACGAGAGTCTTCACGGAGGTCGACTTGGGTCTTTATTTTCTTACCAGTTTGCGTTGCTTGGCCTACCCGAATGGTCGCATGGTATGCATCCAGGATTCGAAGCTACTCCTCGAGGACGAAGAGCACCGCGTGCAGGTTTCTCGCTTTACGTCACGTGACGAGATTGTCGAAGCTTTTGCGCGCTATTTTCCTCAGATCCCTGAAGACATGGTGAATGCTGCTATAGACGATGTTACAATCGATTTCAAAAGAAAATAGATTGTATCATATTTTTGATTAATGTAATCCTTTTTAGTGATTGGTCAACATCATGTGACCAAACATGACATTGCTAGATGTTACCGCTAATAAAAATGTGCTATACCATGAAGTCATCCATGGTTGGCACTATACCATGGATGACGTCATAGATATGCGATCGATCGATCAAGATCAATGTGATATCGGTGGCGGTGGCGGTACTGTCGTCTGCGCTGCTCTCACTGCACTCTTCACTACTTCAGTGACAGTATACATTATCTAAGTTTTATGAAGGTTGGTTTGGAAAATATAAAACAAATATATAATGCACTATTTCAAGCCACTGGTGAAATTATGGATTCCTCTATACGACAGGAAAAGCACCTTTTTTTCGGGGCTATGCCCCTCGGAAAATAGTGGTATTCCTGCCACCTCAATCCATAATTTCAACTAGAACCTCTCAGTGCATGGTATATTTGTTACTGCAGAGGCAAGTGACAATAGAATCGTTTTGGAATTAAATCGAAAAAGTCGACGTATCTCAAATCTTGCTTCGATTACTTGCATCTTACCATGCATTGTATCTATATTTAACATAACGTATTGGTTATTTACTCTTTATTGTAAAGTTACGATTATTTTTTAAGGAAATATATGAGGTCGAAAGAAATACGACTAATTCTAGGGAGATACAATTGATTGGATTGTAATATGTTACAGGGCCCAGATATTGTACAAACGCCAATTAGTAATCCCCGTGTAGATTGTAGTTGTATTTGATGGAAGAATGGTTACGTCCTTATACGTTCTTTCTTACTCCTCGTGAAGAAGTAATATACAATATATTCTTGTATCGCTAGTACACAGGCTTAAGCCTTTGAGAACTATGGTATAGAACTTAAAGCCTCTCCTGGATTCGGGCAAGAGGGTCCTAGTGATACAGATCAATTTTACTTGCAGCGGTTGTCTGTCGTGTTGTGTTTCCTTTTATAACTAGGTTATGTTGCGATGATGATGGTAGTGGTGTTTAGTATAAAAATGTCTTTCAAGTACAAATTTAAGGCACAGAAAAGCCCAAAACGAGGGAATTATGCTAAGCATAAGGGCATTATTATTTTTATACTAAAGTTGAGTTCTGGTCAAGCGATTGCATTGTGAGAGGACCGGTGTGGAATCGATCAGAAAAAGTTGACGTGTAGCATATAAGTATTATTGTGTAATGCAAGGTTTTGGAGTCATTAAAGTGATAAGAAATTTGACCCAGTCAAGGTAAAGTAACAAGCACTGTAGATGTATATGGGACTACACATACTCTAGGCATAAAAATCGGGCCTCATGTTTAAGCTGTTACTTGTCATATATATAGAATGTGAAGGCATTTGAAGAGCCGTGATTTTCAGGTAACATTTTTCTCTGATGTTCTTCGACACTTGCATAATAACAATGATAACTCTCGCACATCATTTTTCACCTCTCCCCAGAACTCAACCTTCTCTTTAATGTACGCAAGACATGATACTGGTTAAAAATGATTACGAACGTGATTTTAAGGTATAATGATATATTTAATACATTATATTCCATATATTATAGCTCAGTTATATTAGATTTAGAGGCACCTATAAACCTATGTATCAGCTTAGTGCGATATAGACGTATTATTTACATGTGATTTGAAATACAAGTATGAAATAAAATACAATTAAAATCAATATTTATTTCTGCTTCACGTTGCTGTTCGCATAATCATCAGCATTCAAATATTCAGAGTCATATTTAAGTATATAGCGATAACATTTGTGCAACAACTAGTTAATATTTAGTTATATATAAATACACGAAACATCACGAGTGGGATTGGGAGAAGCCACTACTAGGCCTACAGAGGACCTGCGACAGCCGTTAAAGACGCTGCTTATAATTATGTTACATAGAAACTCAGTCTTATTCAACAAAAACACAAACTTCAAACACAGAAAGACATTAAAACTAGAACGAAAGGTCAAGATCAAATAAACAACACAATCAGATTCCCGGAAATCCTTTACAACCAGAAACCTTCAACTGTGATTCAACTAGTTCATGTTATAACATTTCCGCTAGTCTGAACCTTTATCTTGGCGAGTATTTCATACCAACGAAAAGTTCTGGGTCCTGTTTCATAAACGTGATATCAATTACAAATTACAAGCTACTGTTATAAGCTACTGAAATCATGGCATCTGATTGGCTGAGAGCAAATTTGTCATAGAAATTTAGCAGTTTTATGAAACAGGCCCCTGGTCATACAGGAGATCACCGAAGCGACGCGTTTTTTGTTGAGAATAATTGGTGTATGTGTGTGTGAGGGGGGGGGGGGTGGGTGGAGGAGGCCTTGATGTACTAGGATTAGCCTGGTTCACACGGCAGACCGTTTACTTTAAGTTTAGGTCGTGGTTATAAACTTCGAAGTTTTCTTTTTGTAGATAGCAGTTATAAACCATGAGCGATCTTAAGGTCAGCCACGTAGCCACGGGGGGGGGGGGGGCGGCACGTGCCCCCCTAAAATTTCCAAGATCGGTTTAACTTTTTTAGACCCCTTTTTTTTTTACCTCGATCGATAACATGTAGGTGCCCCCCCCCAAAAAAAAAAAAAAAAACATCGAACTCTGGCTTCGTGCCTGCTTAAGGTTGGGGCTTGTAGTTAAAATTGATACTTTCCTGGCTAGGAGTTGGAAACTGTGTATGTCCGTTGTTACGGTCCCGTGTGCACCATTGTCGTTGTAAGGCCAAAAAAAAAAAAAATGTTTAGCGTCCTGTTTTTTCGAAAAATAGGAAGGAGGAGTCCCTTTTTTTTTTTTTCTTCTTTTTTTCAAAATGGCCGCTCGGTACATTTTCCCTAACAGTCGGGCTATTTTTAAGATGGCCGCCGACATTTTTTTTTTTTTTTTTAAATCAGAAAAAGATAAATTTTAGCAGTGTTTATCATGTTTTTTTTCTTTCAATTTTTTTTTTTTTTTTTTAAATAATAAAAAAAATAAAAATAGAAGACGGCCCCCAAAAAGGAAGCGGGCAGGGACGCTAAACATGTATATTTTTTTCAATGGCCTGATGGGTTGGTTTTTTATAACTTCGAGATTTCGTAAATTTAAAGTATTTAAAACTACAACGGTTCTGCGTGAACCTAATAATTATAAAAATGATAATGATAATAATAATAATAACTATATTATTGGTAATGATAATTATAATAAAGATAATGATAATTACACCTATAATATTGTTAATAATAATAATAATAATCATAATCATAACAATATTAATAACAATAACAATATTGATAATGATAAAAATTATAATAATAATAATAATAATAATAATATTGATAATGAAAATAATAATGATAATAATAATAACTGGATTTATATTGCGTCTTTTCCAGAGGATACAAGACGCTGTTCCCTAATAGTTTAGGGATTTTTTTAAGAATTGTAGATGTATGTTTTCCGATGTTCTATGAAGGATCCATGCCAAGTGACGTTTCTCAGAACAACGGATTTAAAGGATTTGATGCCAGTCTGTTTACGGGACTTGGGATTGATAATGGAAGGAGCTTATGTAGATCGAAAACCGAGTGATATTCTGATTAACGAATCAAGACAGACTGCAAAGGAGGCTCGCGATCATTTGGTGATAGTAGTTAGCCGACAGGCAGGGTAGGTGATGAAGTTTCACAAGACACTCCTGGGAAACCACTACCACAGATGCAGGAATAGCTGTTGATATGATCTTGACAGCTTCCACCATTTTGGCAAGGAGAAGAAGCACACTCATCGATATCTGCAAGAAAATGAAACAAAACTGTACAGTCTTAGTAAGTATTTCAGTTCAGTTCAGTTCAGTTCATTTATTCAATTCATTTCTAAAATGTACAGACAGTTGTACGTGACAAAAAACATACACATTTACAAGTCATGAAATAAAAAGCAATAAATATTATAAGTAGGCCTATTACATTGTAAGAAAATGAATTATGAGAACTTTAAAATAAAGCCAGATTGGCCTTGTGAAAAAAAAAGTCCCCATTTGCTAGAGAGTGATTTGGAGGCTTCATAATAATAGTTTCAAATTTGTACAACAAAGGGAAAAGAAACAAGCAATGGATATGAAATATACATGCATAGAATATGAAATACAAAATACCTACATGTAGATGCCAACAGATATAAAGTGCATCCAAGTAATTACCCGATCCCCCCCCCCCCCCAAAAAAAAAAAAAAAACAAACAACAACAACAACCTAAAAACCTAAATTACTTCCTTTTTCAAGTGGATGTTTTCAAATATCAAAGAGTTGCAAACTAAGCATATTTTGAAATAAAATATTGTTTCAATTTTCTTTTAAAGAAAGAAAGAGAGAGAGAGATGCATGAACAAATATAATTGGGAAGTGAGTTCCAGAGTATGATGAGTATTTGCCACACTCTATACAGGATAAGTAAATTGCCAGTAGGGATACATGATTGTATAATGCACACCTTATCATAGCAGACATGCTACAGTCGGGAAATAATATAATTGCGGATTCCTCAGGGTAAACACCAATAATTACTAATGAGGCTACCCTGCATGAAACAAGACATATCAATAGTAGTAACAGTGGAAGTAGTGGAAGTGGGAAGTATGTGTGTAAGAGAGAGAGTGACTGAGTGAGATAACGAGTGAGAGAGAGAGATAAAGACAGTGAGAAAGTGAAATAGAGAGACAGGGGAGAGAGAGTGTGATAGAGAGTGTGATATATATCAGGCGCGGATCCAGGATTTCTTAGGGGGGGGGGCCCAAATTTTAAATCAGGCGAGCCAAATATTGGTACGTTATGGTGACCTGCAGTGACGTAATCGGGGGGGGGGTGGGTGCAGGGAGGGGCGAGTTTCCCCCTCCCTCCTCCGCGAAGCGCGGAAGCTTTGACATTTCAATAAATTATTAGAGAAAGAAGACGATTCGTTGTACCGTTCCCAAATATAATCCTCGTCTGAATTATGTTTCCTCACCTCCCGCGCGAAGCGCGGAAGCTTGTACGTTTCATTAAGAGAAAGAAGACGATTCGTTGTGTCGTTATCGACTCTTAATCTTCGTCTAAATTCAGTTTCCCCCCCTCCCGCGCAAAGCGCGGAAGCTTTTACGTTTCATTAAATCATTGGCGAAAGAAGACAATTCGTTGTAGGCCTACCGTTATTACTTTTAATCCTCGTCTAATTTCATTTTCCCCCTCCCGCGCGATGCGCGGAAGCTTTTACGTTTCATTAAATCATTAGAGAAAGCAGACGATTCGTACCGTTCTCGACTCTTAATCTTTGTCTGAATTTCAAAAATGTTCTTCGTCTACTCCCTTTTCTTCCTACGTCCTTTTCCTTTTCACTCCTCTCTTTTTTGGCCGGCGTTTTGGGGCCCCCCTCTGTGAAAATAATGCATTTAAACGCAACGAATTTTCTTTTGGACCAATAAAATTGAATTTAAGAGTTCAATATTGTACCCCCAACAAATCTGAAACAAATATAGATATGTGACTCAAAGTGATATACCGGTTTTTACCGATATACCTGATAATAATATAATATGTAAAACATTGGAAAAAAAACTTTATTTATTGTTAGGGTTAGGGTTAGAGTTAGGTTAATACGGACCTTGGTTTCCTAGGGTAACGCAGGGGCCCGGTGTCCTAGGGTAACGCGGGGCCCGGTGTCCTAGGGTTAGGGTTAGAGTTAGGGTAACGCAGACCCTAGTGCTAGGAACCAATAATTGCTTGACTTTGTAAAAGGCATCAAATTAAAACAGCAAATTTAGGGGCGAAATTACCAAAAAAGCTGGGGCGAGCTGACCAAGAATCCCAAAATCGCCAACCAAAAAAAATCGGGGGGGGGGGGGGGGAGGGGGGACATGACCAATTGAGGGCGACTTTGTAAGGGGGCGGACCGACATTGGGCGACCTGAAATGGAACCGCCTGTATAGCCTACCAGGCTCACCTAAAATTCTTGCGTTCGCATTGTTTCCTTCTTCCTCTCCCAACCTCCCTTTCTACGCCTTTGATTTCATACACTCATTATGCTACCAGCAAAAGTTTAAGGAACAAAGCGA